AGCTGATATGGCAAGCTGATTGGCATGGCACTGATCTGAGGTGGAATCACAGAATTTCATGCATCAGCTGTAAATGCTGATGAATTACGGGATGCAGGCAACAAGACTTAAAGGAAACTGGTTTGATGTTTTTCTGAGTGCATTTGGCTAATGTTTCTAGCAAATACACTCAGATATGTAGCTAATTTGGGTTAGTCTATGAAACTGGTCAACAAAGGCACAGAGGAGTGTGGTTGTTTAGTAAGTGGGCTGCTCAGGTTCTGGTTGTTAGTAATGTATGCTAATGCATTGTGTTTTAACTGGTTTGGTGAGTAACCATGTATAAGTAATTGTTTTTTCCAGAGAAGCTGCTTCTAAGGTGTTCTACCTTTAGGTTTAATGCTGGTCAGGTTTCATCCATATAGGGAAGCTGTAGGAAAGGATGATTCTGCTTCCAGAGTTCCTAATAGGCAAGTCAGTGGTAAACAGCCTCTGTCTTTGGAGGCATCTGCACTATGTGCTGAGCTTGAATGTCCATCGCACTTCCAGTGTGGTGAAAGACTTCCTTAGACTGAAAATTTCAATTTCCTAGAAACTTTAAACATGAGCACTTCTACTGTAGAAGTCAGTGACTTGAAAAGGTGACTCACCAGTTGGTGTGAAGGGGCAACACCACGGCACGGTCTGTCTGGTTCCTTTCCCAGCGATGGTGTTGCACGTGCTTGTCACTGCGTCCCTCAGTCACCATATATCAGGCTAGTCTGCACCCTACTCTCCAACTTTACCATCCCACAGAGGCAGATGGTTGTTTATTTTACCGTTTAAATAGTCTGTTTGGAAATGGGGCTGTTGGCAGTGTATATGAATATTGCCATTCCCAAAATAACTGTGATTGTGGTCTTGTGCTGCTGCTCTTTACCCTGCACTTTCACAGAGATATTTCCCATTCCCCAACACCTGAGAGACCCCTTCAGCTTCTCTTGGAGGTGGAGGCAGTATGGTGGAGTCCTGCTGAAGTGACTGTAGCAAAGCGTGTGCCTTGTGGGATCGTGTGTGTTGTTCTGTCAGGCACGTTGCACCTCCCCTTTAAATATTGTGCAAGTGGAGAGGGAAGTGGCGATGGGGAAGAAGCAGCTGTAGCCTTTAAAAGGCAATAAGGGTTCATTTAGATTTGATCCTTTGCTAACAGATGAATGCACTCTATTGATCTAAGTATGAGTCATCTCAATGTTCTGGTGAGCTCTGAAAGAAGTTCAAGATTGTTAAGTGTGCTGTTGGATAAAATGACAGGGTGACTCTGTGGAGTTGGTAATGGGGTGTTACAAATGAATTTGGGTCTCAGTCCTCCCACTGAGGGATTGGTGGGTGTTTGCCAGCCGTAAAGACTCACCTCCAGGCTGGACAGAACTTAAGGTGTATCCTGGGCAGAGCAAGCTCCTCAGTTTCCTTGCCAGTATTGCTCTTGTCCTCAGGATGAATATATGGCTCAAGTCTAGGAGGTCATCAGGTATCTCTTATAAACACGAACAAATATTCAAAGTTAAAAATTCACCATGACATTATATTTGCTTCCAGAATTATGCAGGCATTGTTATTACCACAGTGGCTGGTGGCAGCCTATCAGCTCAGTGTCTGCTTGCACATACGTCAGATATTTAACGTACTAGCGGTGGCTGGTTTTGAGATTTTTTCTTTTGAATGCTACAGAGTTGAGGGGTTTTTATATGTATTTATCACTGCTACATTTTTGTGGGATTGTAAAAGGTGTGTTGTGTAAACCACACCACTGTGACCAAGGAGCTTTATTATGGTTGCTCCGTCATGGAAAATATTTGTGCATTTGAAAATTTCAAGGAGACTGGGCGATAGTCTGCTGTGGAAACTTGCTTTTCACAGGAAGAAAACAGTTTCAAGTTGACAGCATGGTTTTGTGTATGGTTTGGGGTTTTTTATTAATAGAGTTATATTTTTTAAATGGATTTATTTTAATAGCTGGAGGTCTCGAACAAAACTAGAGCCCTCTGTGCTAGAATGTGCAGATATTTTTCTATTTTTCTTTCTCTAGACCACAGATTGGGTGGCACCTCCCTGTGGCAGGCGATAAGGCAGCCTTTCTCCCTGGCCCCATGACAGGCTCTGTGCATGGTACTCTAGAAACTGCACTGTGACCCACTGTCCCCCACGGCATCCCCCCCCCCCCCCCGGGAAGATTTAGAGGGACCTTTCCTAGATCTCTAACTTTGCACATGCACTGGCTTCCTCCTGCTGAGAGGCAGGTGCTTGTATTCACAAAGCTTGTATTTAGTCCAGAGCTTGAAACCCCAAACAATGTTTGTGACATGTAGTGAAAGAAAAACAATGATCCTGACTGATCAGAACCTTTCATTTCATCCCCCATCCCTCAACAGCATGTGAGAGGCAAGGGAATGGAAGCTCCTTCACAGCCTTCCTGCACATGTGAAAAGGCATCCTGGGGTGCAACCATGTGCCTTTCAGTGTTGCTTCTCTACCCAGGTTTAACATGCAGCCTCCTAGTTCTCCCTCCTGGGAAAAAGGGGCATCACGAGGGGTTGGTGTCCGTGCACGGGGAAGGGGAGTTCAATGGCATGGATAAAGTGAAGGAACAGCTGGGAACATGGACATGACTCTACGGGTGCAGCTCAGATGCCCAGTTGACTGGTGTATCCACCAAACCATTCCTTACCTTTGCTTGCTTTTTGGATTGAAAGTTTTGAAAAGATAGGAGTCAAATTCAGGGATTGATTGGGAGTTAGTTGCCATTTATGTAAGCTCCTGTAAAAGAGGCATTTTTGAACTGATGCTGAGAGTTGCATTTTCAAACAGCTACAAAACTTGCAGCATTACATTGATGTGCTTCTTTTAAAATAGTATTTATCATGCAATACCCACCTTTCTCTCTCTAGGAAGGAGGTAAGAAGAGATCCATGTTGGCCTGCTAAGCGGTCAGCCAGGCTCCCGGTTTGTTTTCCATGGCAGGCTTTGCCAAAGAAGGGATCCTGAAATTATCCAAGGTATTATTTTGGTTCTGTCACACCTCTAAGGCTGCACATGGTTTTCCATCTCTCTTCTTTAACAACAGCTTCACAAAGGCTAGTTCCAGTTTAGGCCTGCGTGCCATAGTGGTGAACAGAAACGAGAGGCACTCGAATATCACCGTTACATTTGAAGTTTTAATATTTCGAGCATTTTGGTTTTATTCAAAATAGGTGCTTTGCAAAGGTAGCTGAAAAACTGATGTTCTGTAATATTAAAAAAAAAGAAATTCTGGAAAAGACTGACAAACCAGTTTTGGTGTAAATTTTCTGCTTTTATTTATGCTACATAGAATGAATACGTGATAAATCTGAATTGACAGTGCTATACATTCCCTAGTTCGTATTTTCTAGCATTCAGATTTTAGTTTCTAACAACCTACTGCAATCCATAATTAAGACTGTAAAGCACCCAGTAGTGGCTTCTGTGGGTTTTGGCTCAGAAGCATAAAATTTAACTCAGAGGAAAATGTCTGTGCTTTCAAAAAGAGGCTGTATTCACATAGTGGTAGAAAATGAGAGAAACTTCAGACCGAACAAGAAATACTTCAGGCAGGATCAGGGGTTAGAATGCAAAAGTAATCAAGCAGACATGAAATACTGAGTAGTCTGGAGCTCCTCTGAGCTGCACAGGGCTTGGCTTTACTCAATGCCTTCAAACCCTTTACACCCTCAAAGCGAGTCAGTAACACATCTAACTGCTCATGAGAGTGTGAGTTTGCTCTTGTAAATCTGTGGTTACAATGAGCAGCTGGTAAATAAACAGAGCCTATAGCCTCGGTGCTGTGCTAAATGTGAAAAGGGGAAGAGAATTAACAGACTTCTGTTTAAAAAAAAAACAAACCAACATTTCCTTGTGCCATAAATACAAACATTTTAAAACGTCCTGGCTGGCACAGGGCTGCGAGTTTTCAGCAATGTGTGGATGTGGCTCTGGCAGAAGGATCTCGCCCCAATGCTGCCCCTCCATCTCACTGGGCTCCCTCCAGGACCAACAGAGAATAACACCACTCCCAGCAGCTGGGCATGCACTTTACCCCCTTGCAAAGCCCCCCCGTAAAATTTGCTTTGCATTTGTTGCGTTCCATGCAAGTCAGGTGCCGTGGTCATCCCTCGTACCCCTCATTGCCAACTCAGTTTCTGCTTGGTGCCAGAGCTGTAGCCTGTCCAGCCCAAGCGTGGTGAGATCCCAACTCCTTTGGCAGGTTGACAGTGCTCTGATGCTGCAATTGCAAGCTCTATGGCTTGCTAAAACTCATCAGCATGACCTTTGATCATTCGTCTCCAGGTAGTGAGGGCATCAGGAGCAGCCTCTGGCCCTAAACCAGGCACATCATGCAGTGTACTTTTGCCCCACAGCCCACTGTGGAGCATCACGCATAGGGGTCACCAGCGCCAAACAGCCACATTGTGTCAGAGACTGGCAGGGGAATGTGGGCACCAAGATCTGGTTGAGCACAGATCAGGCAGGGCCCAATGCAGAGGACAGTGAGTGTGTCAAGTCTTGAAAGGAACTTTAGGAAGATTATAAAAGCTTTATGGCCTCTGGAAACTATGTAGAAGTGAAGGTCATAGCTTAATTTTGCTGTGCAGGCAGGCCCTCCACACTAGCTACAAGAGAGAAACCCAGCAGCCCTTTCTGTCCAGCTCCTCTGAGCAGAAGTCAGACCACAGCACCACCAAGGAAGGATGTTTTGTTAATATTCTCTTCATCTTTTGTGCTTGAATGTATTTATTTATTTGAAAACACAGAGAAACTTATAAATAGCTCTTTTTTCTTTCCTAATCAAGAGTTAACTAAATACATAAGTGAAAGAACAACTTCCTTCTTTGCCTAAGTCATAATCATGCTACCAACTTATTTCACAGCATGTGAGCACAGGGCAGCAAGGAAGGGTTTGTACTGACACAGTCAGCTCTGCTGGATCCTCAGCCCCTGTAAGTCAGTGCTGCCCTGTCCTGCCTCACCACAGAGGACTCCTGCTCCCCTTGTGAGAGGAGGGGCATCGTAGGCTGTTCCCGGCACGCCACCAGCTGCAGCTGGCAAGGTAGTTGCTGCAGGGTTGGTGGTGGTGGCGATGGAATTTTGGGGGGTCAAGAGGGCAGTCTGCACTGTTCCGAGTCAGGTCGCAGGGACGGACCCCGTGCACTGTGTGGACTGTTTTGGGAGAGCTCCCAAAGCCCGTCTTCCGCTTTTCTTCCCCTCTGGCAACACTCGCGTTCACCAATTCCCACCGTCAGCCAAAGTAAAGTACATGGAGGAGTGGGGGGGTCCTCGAGCTGTGCCAGAACGCCGAGGCTGCTGCATGGGCAAAGAGATGGGATAGGGGATGCGACAGGAGGCTTTCCTCAGTGCTGGGAGCAGGAGGGCGGTTGTGCCTGGATGGATCAGGGGGCGAGGTGGGAGGCTGCCTGAGGCTCAAGATGTCCTCTGACAGTGCCAGGCAAAATCCAGGGGTGGTGAGGAGAAGGCAGCAATTCCAGGGCAGATGCCAGCGAGGGAAGGTGCTGGGTAAGAGGAGAGCTGGAAGGGGAGGGCACAGAGCAGGGGGCGAGGGCAGGTGGATGGGTGGCCCTGCCGAGAAGGACTGACCGGGAAAGCAGTCACCACCGGCAGGAGGAGGGCCATGGATATAGTGACTACACTTCTTGTAAAAGGGGGTGGAGAAAGGAAAGGGAGGGACAAAAAGAGGGAAAAAAAAAAACAACCCTGCATGTCAAGTCTGAGGAAATGCTGTGGGAACTACAGCCAGGCGCCTTTTTTTTTTCTTTCTCTTCTTCTTCTCTCTTCTCCCCTCGTGTAGCTGAGAGGAAGGAAAGGAAGAAAGAGAAGTAGTTAGCTCAAATGTGCCTCGCTCTGCTGCCGGGGCGCGGGGGCTTGGCTGGAAGGATCTAGTTTCTCTTCGGTGGCAGGAAAAGGAGCCACAGGAGGAGGCAGAGACGGACACCCAGACATGCCCGTCCCGTCAGGCTGCTGGCTCCTTCTCCTTTGCCTCGCTGCCTCTGGCAAACAGGTAAGGCTGCGAGCCGGCGGAGGGGGAAAGTGGGTGTCGCATCTCACACGGAGAGATTTTCTTGGAGGAGACGACGAGGTCGGAGCTCAAGGCACTGGGAGAGTGGGATTTAGCAGAACAGCTTCGCCTGCCTTTTTTCCCCCTCTGGTTGTTTGGGTTTTGGTTTTGGTTTTATCCCAGCAACTCATCCTGTCTCATAAGCTTTTCTCGCTTCTTTAAAATCAAAGTAGTCTAAACCCAAAGTTCCAAAGGAAGCCAGAGGATCTGCAGGGAAAACAGCCTGCTTTTGCCCAGGGCAGGGTGTGAGAAACCAGAAAATATTTGCAGTGAGGTTGTTGAGGGGTATAATTTGCATGTAGAGTAAAAATAAGGCAGACTCCACCCTACCGAACAGATTTATTCGAGAGAGCGGGAGCACACTTGTCCCTCAAACAGGGGACGAGCGCGTACGATCTTCGCAGGCCGGATACAGCTTTTCAGCCGCCCCCACTGGGGTACAGAGCCCCTGGCGCTCTGACCGTCCCGGCGCCCCGAATGTTGGCAGCCCCCGGGCGGCCGCGGGAGATGCGACGGCGTCGTGACCCCGGGCCCACGGGTGGGAGACTGAGGTTCGTGCCGGCTACATAACTCACTTGGAGGTTCACGTGCTGCTCGTGACAGAGCCGGGAGCCAAATCCCCATCGCGAGTTAGCTGCCCCAAAAGGACAGCCCTTTCCTCTGAAGGGGAAAGATCTGAGCTCTGCGGTTTTTTGCAAAGAGAGCGTGCTCTTGTTGCAGCTTCGTGCAATGCCAGGTGTCTGATGGTCAGCGTGTTTTACACTTGGGATCGTTGCTGGTCTTCCCTGGCTTTCGGAAAGATTTTTTTCCACAGCCAGCTGTTGCTGAGCCTTGTGAATGGCATACATCGGGTTTCCTCCAGAGGTTTGATTTTGCAGAATTTTGCTTTGCTTTTTCTAATTATACAGCTTAAAAATTATTCCTCTCCCTCAGAGTTATTTAGACCCTTCTAGACTGGCAGGCTGTTTACAAATCCCATGCTATCGCGCTTTCCTCCATTAATCAGTGTTTGGCAGTCTCACTACCATTTGTATTTCTTTCACCTGAACTTCTAGTGTTTCTCTATCTCATTATTCTTGATAAGTTATGTAATTTTAAGTGCTTCCCTCAGCATAGTGCTGTAACTGGACCATGGCTGGGTTCCCTGAGAGTAAGGTGCAGCTTCAAGAAAAAGAAGATAAAAAACCCAAACCAAAACAAAAAACCCTCTGCTGTCTACAGCTTACAATTTAGTGTCTGACCACATAGTCCTGAGAGCCTTTCCTCTGGATCCCTGGTCCTAAATATGTTGCCTAAAACCACACAGGCCTTTTTTTCCCCTCTAAAACATACGTTTCATTTTGTCCACCCTCACTCTTAGGCTTCCCTTAAATTGCTGCTTTCCAGGTGTCCTCCATATGTATATGAATGAGCCTGCAAATTTCAAAAGTGATTTTTCATCATAGCTTTCAGGTGGTTTGCCCTGTTCCTTGGTATCCCTCTGTGTCTGTCTCTTTTTTCCTGTCCTGGTGTTCAGGACTGTGATCAATGCAGCATGAAGAGCAGACCTCAGTGTTTTTCTTATCTTTGCTTCAGGTCACTACCTATTACATGCTTGCTTCCTTCTGGAGTCATTTTGGTTTAGTGCAGTTTTTCCTTTGGCATCTGCTCATTTCCTGGAACCTGCTCAGCTCTTGACCAAACCTTGAAAATTTGGATTTCCATGCTATAGTTCCCAGCATGTAGAAACCAGGAGGAACTCCTCATTATTTCTCACCTCTTGATTCATAGCCTTTTGCAGGACACAAAACAAGGAACTTGTATTTATTTTGGGCTGATGTATAAAGTCTTTCCACTGTATCCAACACATGCTTAATTCTGAGTCTGTAAGTGGTTGTACAGGGTGAAACTTTCAAGTTGCTACTGGACAAGTAACAGTACAAAATTGTAGGACACTCCAGGAAAGTTGTAGTGTAAGAATAAGGATAAGCCACAATTTGTCAAAGATTAAAATATTGATTGTTAATTTAACATTCTGCCTGCAACAGTGAGCAGAACCTACAAGTCAAGAATGTGAGAGTAAGGCAAGCCTGGAGAGGTGCTGCTCCCAGCCAGCCTTTCAGGTTCTCCTTTGTTTGACTGATTTAACAGTGGTTTCTTAGAAGAGTGCTGTTTTCTGATGGAACAAATTGTGAGAATATGCGTGGTAGGGCTGAGGTTTTTCTGATGCACTTGTATTAGTTTAGACTCAATAATATAGTGGAATAGTGCTAGGACAGTGATATTTGTAATGTATTTCCTGCAAAGAATGAGAAGCACTTGGAAATGTAAGTTAATGAGTACTCACTCATAATTCTGCTGAGAATGGACATCATCATCATTTTCACCAAAGAGGAAATGGGAACAGAGAATTCGTGACTTGCTGTAGGTCACACATGGAGCATGGAGCAGAACTTCTGGGAGCAGAACTTCTGGGAGCAGAACTTCTGGGAGCAGAACTTCTGGGAGCAGAACTCCGCCCTCCTGCTTATCTTGTGCTTCAGCCACAAGATGATCTTTCCAAGTGATTTTGGTTTGGGTGCCTGTAGGAGGTATTTTGCTTTCTGAGGCATGATCTTCTCAGCTTCTTTGTACAGAATAGCCACATCTCTTTCCTTGCTTAACCCCAGTAAAGAGCATCAGTGTTACCATCAGGTGGGAGTCAAAGTCTGTGAGAATGTGCATTTGCAAGTATGCAATAAACCAGTTGCACTGCAGATTCTTCTCCCCTCTTGTGGCAATGGGATGGGTTCTTCCACTACTCTGTAATATTTACTTTGTAGGGAAAGTTTACTCATTGCAAGCATCTGGAATTCTTTGTAATATAGAAAAATTTTGTCCAAAGTACAGATTTTTCTTTCATTTTCCTAAAATGCACTGTCTGTATGATAAGAGGGGGAGAAAGAGTGTAACAGTGACTACACTGTGTTATATCATGGGCTCTCCTGGTTCATTATTCCTGCTCTGATCAGGGCCAAAGGAATCATTCAGTAGAGCAAAACATCTACAATATCTAATCTAAACTCCTGGATTTATTCTGTTGTTAGCAGCACGGGCTTCAAAGCTACCATAATTCAATTAGTTCACTTGTCAAAATTCCATTGTGGGAATGGTTCCTGTGAGGGGCACTGAAAAGTTTTTAGTTGCTTCGCAGTTTACCCCAGAATGTATGAAAAATCTTACAGCACCTCATATGAAAGGAATATAATGCATATAAAACTGCATCAAACCATAATTAAAGAAACCTCTCCCACTTCTTTTTTTCATGTTGAGCGTCATCTGCCTGATGTAATTTCTTCTTTCCCACCAACAGTACCAAAACAAACCTTTACCACATTTCACAAGTCAGTAGAACTCAAAGCTTGTCAGACATCTCGAGGGTACTGACCTATGTCATTTAGGGCACAGGGCTTTCTTCGTACTGTGCCAAAAGAGGTAAAAAAAGGCAGGTCAAGCAGAGAGATTAACTTTGGCCCTAAGGATCTGATTCTACTGCCCGTTACTGTCTATTGCCCTCAAGCTCAGAAAAGCGGGATGTAATTTGACAGCTGTGCAAGAACCAGTACAGATGGTAAAAAGGATGAGTACATAACTACAGTGTATAAAATCGTGGAAACCTCAAAGTGGTGCCCTCTGGCATTTATACCTTAACATTATTTAGAGGAATCATATCTGAGTCACTTCGCTATGTTTATCCATCTGTCCCTCAGAGTTAAAGTGGTGAAAGACCCTCCTGTACCAGGTACATGCGTAGATGCACCAAAAAGGTAATAATCCTTGCTGCAGGGCTGTCCTCCTGCTTCTCCCTGCCGCCTTCCTCTCAGTATGACCAGGTCTCCAGGAAGTCTTTTGTGGTGACCAGAGCGAGGAGGGTTCCTGCCACCACGTGCTGTGACCACAGAATCCAGACCTGCTTTCATCCTGTCCCGTGATCTGCCAGGGTATGTTCTGCAGTGCAAAGGCTGCTGGAGACTTGGAAGAGGTGATTGCTTCGGGTGCTGGTTGAGCTTACTCAACCAGGTGGGCAGTGGGGAGAAGAGGGGAACAGAGATGGCTGGTTCCTCATGTCCTGAACTGCAGCTGTGCTACTTACACAGACTGTCCCCTTCCTTTCCATGGAAACTCAACTTGCCAGATGGCTCTGGCCTCTGCTGCAGCCACGAACCCCTGGTTTAAGGATGCCTTGGTTAGCATTGCTTGCACAGAGAAGCAGCTGCTCTGAGAACGGCTCACTACTGGTGATGCAAAGCGCAAAGGCAAATATTTGTGTGTTATAAATGCAATATAAAAATTCAGTGATGTTTAACCAGGTTGTACTCTGGACTTGGGTAGGCCTTGGTCTGTGTCTGTACAACACAAGAGGCTACCTGCATGAACTTGCCGCTTTTTATGACTTACTCTTTGAAAATGGTCCAAAGTTCATGGAATAAAAGAAAAACTCTACAAGCAATGGCTGGAAGCCGCAAGGTGGGCTACAGGTGGGAATCTGGCTCTGTAGGCTGCACTGGCACTCAGGGCAGCCTGCTGCTGTGTCTGCCCTGTGGGAGCAGGATTTGACATCATGTGTCAGCACTGGGGAAGTGCAGGTTTCTTGATTATTCCTTGTCTGTGTGTCACCACAGTATGTTATCACATTTGCAGTTGAGTGCCTTGTGGAAGGCTCAGTGCTACACAAGAGGAGTGATGCTGACATCACCCTGGCACTCCAGGACATCCTGGTTTTTGTCCCATACCTGTGCAGCCACCTAGGCTGCTCTGCACAGTGCTTCCCATGGTTACCTTTTTTGTTTGCCTTTTCAGGGTGTGAGTTCTCTGGGCCGAAGGCTTGGCTTTCTTTGGTGTTTGTGCAGTGCTTAGGATGTCATGGCTGCAAACAAAGCCAAAGAGTCATTAATCACCGCAGGATAGCACCCCATCCATTTCCC